GAATACTGTGCGACGGATGTGTTAACAGATTCCTGGGAGTCAGTGATTGGCATTGTCCAGGATCGGTCTCCAGCATGCAAGTACCTTGAGAAAACCCATCGAAATAAAAGGGGAGACGCACTGCCAAAACAATTGCTTTGTCTATGAAGTGAGAAAGAGAGTATCTGGCTAAAGAACTGTTGGATCACTAAAGACAACCACAGGATTAACACGCAGGACTGGAAAGGACCACCAGGGTCACCGAGCCCAGTCCCCTGAAGATTGGAGTCTTCATCACCACGTCACCTCCAAGCCAACCTTCAAAAAGCTCATGCATCAAAAAAAGAAAGGTGTCCCTCCTCCCAAGCAGAGGTTCAATTTGCAATCTCTCCAAAAAGACTTGTTGCCAACACATCAAATATTTACACTTACACCAGTATGAATTGCAACATATGCATAACAAGGAATGTTAGGTTTCCTAAATTCATCAACTTAAAAAATCTCCACTTCCCCCTCCTAATCATTTACAGGTCTATGCCCTTGGGATTACGGTTCACTTCTCTCCCAGCCTTACTGGCTAGAGAGACTAAATGAAATCCTGACATACAGCAGCAACTGGAGTTAAACAGAAATTATTCGGGCATATCATTCTAGTAAAGCAGCAGGGTACCACATCCCCAACCATTACAATGCCTGTCGAGATTATAACAAACGCGCTGCGCTACATTTTTGCATCTGAAGAATTAAAATCACAACCATTTTAACATCTCTCCCTTGAGGGGAACAGTATTGTGAAAACACACCAGTCACAGCCAAAACTACTGTTAAATACTCTGGTAATTCAAAAGAAAAAGTAAACACGCAGCACCTTAGAGATGGTGGTATTTGGGGATACCGGACTTAGACGGGGGCCAAGCCATCCTCAGGTTGATATGATTTATCCTCAGGTTGATATGATTTATCCTCAGGTTGATATGATTTATCCTCAGGTATGGACTGTTTCAGTGTAATGCCCAAAAATTTAACTCCTTATTTGTTCATTTTCTGAAACTGTTGCACTAATTAAATAATGAGCTAGTATCAAAAAAGTGCTAAATCACAATTGAATATACTCCCCAAAAAACCCCCCAAACCAACCAACAAACAACCCAACCCTTCAGGGCATAACTGCATTTAAAAACAAGACAGGTGCACAAGGGGCTGGAGAAGGGAGTCGTCTCCAGGATTCAGTGCGTAAATGGGAAGAAATTGTGTCCTTGTCATAGAAACGTCAAGTATTGCCATGCAACAGTTCTCTGTAGGGGAAGCAAGCTTTGTACCGTCGGTAATACTTGGCCACAACCACTCTGGGGTGAAAGATCCTTTGCAGACTCTTTTCCTTAAGTTATTTCCATTTGCTATAAAAGCCTGGAGTTGCTTTGAAAACAAAGGATGCAGACTTACCCTGCAAGGCTTCTCACACTGGAGGAAGTTATTTCCAAGAATCTGGTGTTCTCTACTGTTCACCCAGAATCGAAGCAAATTTAAGTACCGTTAGAGATGCGCACACCACTCCCACTGCTAAGACTTTCTATTGTACTCCTTGCCGGACTGCGTGGATTCTCAGTAAATAAGGATTATGATGTTTTTTTCCCTCACCAAAAAATTGCAGCGCTACATTTAAACTGTGAACTGGATTCGCTCTGTATCATTTCACACAATAAAAAAGAAACGGGTTGGAAGACGTTTGTCTCAAACTAGAAAAGATGACATCGCTCTCGGCCTCGGAAGTCTCAACTTTCCTTTGCTAGAAATGGAGAAAGCTGCTTTTCTCAGCTGGTGGCTGGGATCCCTTTCCCCCCTCTGCTTTGGGAGCCCTCACTGAGCAGCCATGCACCCACTCCGAGGCAGGCACCAGTGCCAGATGGAGATGATCTTCGTGTCAGCAGGCCACTGCTTCTTAGGTCTCTGCCCCGTTACTACATTTCCATGGTAGGAGACAGCTGCCCGGAGATCAGCTTTTCAGAGGCAAACAGAAAGGAAGATAATGGAATGAATGATTTCCGAGTCATACAAAAACGAAGTGCTGGGAAAGACGAGGCATACAGCCAGGAGGAGACACAACCGTGAGGGTTATGGACACACAGCGGAAGCTTTGTAGTTTAGGTGGGGCTGCCTGTGATCCCAGCTGGGTTTGGATGGTCACCCTTAGAAAGGCACATGCTCTAGGGACCCGGTTTTAGGAGGTGCTGAGCAGCCTGCCCTTCCCAGCTGAAAGCGGGGGGAGCTGCAAGAGCTCAGAGCCTCTAAAGCCAGGCATGTGTGCGGGCAACTGCATGGTAAACGCTGACCCATAGGAACTGCACTACCACCGCTCTCCTTAATTCAGTTTCTCTTTGAAGGATAGAGAAACCCAGGGGAACTCTTACAGCTTGGAAAGACGCTGACCAAAGCCAAACCCAAACCCAACCTCTCGCTGCACCTCAGACACAGCAACGTTCTGCCGTCCACAACGCGCCGGCTGGCAGGGCTGCAGCGAGACCTCTGCTTCAGGAGAGGAGGGCTGGCTCTACGTTAAGGGGCTCCATGGCATATGAAACGTATACGCTAGGCTGAGCTTTCTTTTTTCTTTCCCTTTAAGACAATCCTTTTAGTCCTCTCACTTGGGTTCTTACTAGCCTGGCCCTTATTTTGAAGTCAGTTTGCCGCTCAGTGCCATTAAGCCACAAATGACTTGGGAGATCAAACTCATTCCTGAGAAAGAGCTAAATAAAGATTTTGAAACATCAGATTTCACCACAAGTCTGGGAAAACAGAAGCTTTCAGGCAACAGCTCTAAAGCCCCAGCAAAACTCAGACAAACTTCTTCCAAACTTCTTATACCAGGTGCAGATAACCCAGGGCTGCTGTTCTGACCTCTGCCCACTGATGCCAACTGGTGGTCACGGAGGGAGATTTGGGGTAAATTCTAAAAGCTATTTTGGAAACAGAGCTTTATGGGAGAGCCGAGTGCACCCTCTTCCCCATTTATGGCTATGGAGTAGGGAGCTGCCGTCCCCCTTTCTTCACAGCTCCCTAACACAGACCCCCCGTCACCACCGGCTCTGCACAACTGGGCTGCGAGGAGATTTTGCCAAGACCTGAAACCCACGGCGGGTTCGCAGGCTCACGTCAAGGTGCGCATCAGCGAGCTTTGCGCAGCCCAACAGGGCTGCAGCCCTTCTCCCGCTGCTCCATCTGCTCAGCCCTCTCCCCTGGAAAGGTGCAACAGCCTCTGCCTGCCAGGAGCTGGTCGGGGTCCAACGTCTGTGCAAGCTTAAGTACTTCATCTGTCAGGAGAGCAAGGCTGAGCGTTGGGGGTTTGCTGCCACGGTGTGGAAGTCGCAGAGCCTTTCACTAAAGGGTCTGAAAACTGCTCTGCAAACGGAGCGAGCCTCTCACCCCCGAGAGGTAGGTAAGTACGTCCCCACTCTGTATATGGGGAAACTGAGGTAAAGAGAGGCGAAGTCGCTCGGACGCACGGCAAGTCAGGGAGAAGCAGCACCGGGGCAGGAGTCCTACCTCCCAGTGTTGTTATTCATCAGATCATACTCCTCCTCAGTTTCATCTCGGTGAGCTTTGCAAACACAAGCAAGGGAGCCAGGGGTAGAACCATGGATGGCTTGCTGGGGCTTTCACGGGGTTGTGAGCCGCTGTATGGCATTCCCAGCCCTGTCCCAGCTCTGCTCTGACCTCTGCCGAGTGCCCTGCGGTCTCATGCAAACAATTCCCAGTCATGGTCTGGAATTAAAAGCTGCTTCTACCGAGATACACAGAAATGAGGATGTTTTCCCAGAGGAAAAACACGCGCGCTTGAGAAACAGCCACAAAAGGCAGAGGTGCCCGTTGCAGGGCCATCTCTAGGCGAAATCCTCACTCTCAAGAATGGAAGGCAACAGATGTTTCAAGATCCCTATAGCCTTCATCCTCCAACGGTTTGTAGACTGAAAACAAGTTTTGGGATCGGCAGCAGACTGATTTCAATCACGTTTCTCCCTTTGGCAAAAAAAGCATAACTGCAGTAAGCCTACTGAACACAGCAGGGCTCCGTCTGCTTTGTCAGACCTCTAACAGTGCAGTATCCAGCCCCTCTCGAACACCTTTCCTTCCCAACACCGGGCTAACAACATGTGCCTTTAAAAGCTTAACCTCACCACAATCTGCCAAGTGAGACCTACGCTCACAGCTCACGAGAAGTCTGGGGAGTGTAAACAGAAGGACTACGGGGCAGGGGGAAATAAAAAAATCCTACACGGGACTGAAATGCATGCAGCCAAAATCGCACCTCGTCTCTGAGAGGGGACAGAGCTCACAGTGGGAACGATCACACCCGGCCCACACCCACACTCCCATCAGAGCAGGTTTTCTGCTCCAGGCTTTGAGGGGAGAGATTGTGGGCAAGGGTGCCCGTGAGGAAATTTAGTCAACGTGTGTTATTTGCAGGCAGCATCACAGTGGTTAGTGTCGATTCGAATGGCAGGTAAGAAGAGGGGTGAGTTCACTGGAACAGTACACAGCCGTGGCTCAGTCGGGAAGAGGAGGCTCTAGGAGGAGGGAGTGCGTGCACCGCAGAGACAAGAGGTCTCCATCAGTCCGAAGATAAGAAGAAAAAAGAAAAAAAAAAAAAAAAAAAAAAGGCCTGGGGAGTGTCACGTTGCCCCAGGGATTCACAGTGCCAGAGCGAGGGGAAAGACGTGAAAACGGCAGGCGGCTTCCTGGATCCACATCTGCGATTCCCCCAGCCTGCATCCCTCTGCACCTCCCGCCTCACCGACACCTAACAGCGTGTTACCCTTGTTTCCGAGTAAGGAGAATTCACAGTGTTCAGTAGTGATCAGGTACAAAAGCCGTTTAAGTCTACAGTCTCCTAAGTGCTGCTGCCTTTGACGTAGTGCCTACGCGGGGCTCAGTGCGAGCAGCTGGAGGAAGAGGGAGTTTAGAACAGCAGACAGATCAGATCGCAAAGGCACGGTTAGACTAGGTGGACACGGGGTGTGTTTGCTTTAGAAGATAGTGGTCTCATACTTAGTGCTGAGGGTCCGCTTGGAGTCCTGTTTGGGGTCCACGACCCAGGAGACACTGGCATGAGATTGGGAGTCTTGGTCCACTTCAGGGGGCTCCAGCTAGAAATGGAGAGAAAAGGGCATGTTAGGTCACCCGTGCTTCTGGAACAGAACGAGTGGGGATTCAAAGCACGGAGCTGCTGCTGCTCTGCCCAACGCCCATCCCAAAACCGTGCACGAGTGCGGGGAAGCAGCTCTCGCTGGGGAGGCATTTGAGTCCTTCACCGCTAATAAATGTCTAGCCGCATCAGTCTCAACCCAGCACCCTGAGATGACTTCCTGCGTTAGGCCTGCAAGCCCCTACTACCGTTAGCGACAGCTTCACTTCATCTCACAAACAAGCATGAAAAATGGAGCGCTATAAAAATGGCACTATTAAAAAAAAAAAAGAAAAAAAAAAAAGAGGCAGAGGGAGAGAGGGGGAGACAGCTCCCGGCAGGTGAGCTCCCACGTGATTTACTCTCCTGACCAAGCGAGGCTCTTTCCTCTTGTCCTCCTAAATCAGGATCCTACAGGAAGGTTAACAAGACCAGAAAGAGCAACGCAGTTAGTTGAGAGCTGCCACTCTACATCAGCGGGGATGGATACGAGTGGTTTGTCCCTGAGGTTCATCTGAGCTCATGGCACGGCCCTGGAACGAGCGGGGAGGGAAGACAGCAGCGAGGCAGGACACGGGACCACAGCAGGGGAAGCGGGGAGGCAGGCGGGCCGGCGGCAGCTGGGGCAGCCCGCGTCGGTTCGTAATGGAAGATGGCAAGAAGAAGGGTAAAGACCTTGGCTCCGGGACTAACAGACTGCAGCGGCAGGTAGGAGGGGCGGTGTGTTGTACAGGTGTGACAGTAACAACAGCGAGTGTCGGGAGGGAGCGGCACCTGAGCGGGGGGAGCAAGCAGAACACAGACAAAAGGAGACATTAAAGGAAGGCAATGGCTTACGCAGCAGTCCCTGCTCCTCAGCAGCTCCACTCTCGGCTGGTTTTGGCTACAGGGGCACTCCCATGCTGCAAACCGCAGTTTACCTACTGGTCTTACTGCGGCTCTGCAGGGTTTGCACATGGAAGCTGTGCTGGACCCAGCAGGGCACTCAACCCCCATCCCACCCGGGCTATTTCCGTCTCTGCTTGCCCTCATGCTACCAGGGGAAGCCCTAACACCGCAGCAGGACAGCCAGCAGAGCCACGGACACTGCAGCATCAGCCGTGCCTGAAGCTACCGGCACCGGGTCCACATCTGGGCTCGCCCCACCACAAAGCGGGAGGTTTAAGCCTGTGGTGCCCAAGAGAAATCCCAGCTCAGACCATGCAGATCGCACCCAGCAGCCTGCCGGCCCGCACATACGTACTGCGGATTTCCTCATGCCAGCTCGTGGTTTAGGCACCGGTTTGGAAGATTTTGTTTCAATCATTTCTCCTGCTGCAGCACCCAGAGGCTTCGCTCTCTGGGCTTGGAGGGCCAGCTGGTAGGCGACTTCAAACGCCTGCCCCAACGTGAGGATGATCTCGTACGTCAGGTTCTTCGGAGAGACCACAGAAAACACAAAGCCGTTAGGTGCGTACGAGCTACCTTGCCCTGCGCAGAGCCCACGTGCTCAGCAGCTCGCTCTGGAGATGCAGACCCCGGCAGAGCCATCGCCTTTCCGTTGGCAGGTCGTATCCTGCCGTATCCCTGGCAAAGCTGCTCTGTGCACATGGGGCAGCGCTGAGCTCCTGCCCTGCAGGGGAGCCGGCACCGAGCCGCCTCCACGCTCGCACGGCCCCGGCCGGTGGGACCACCTGCAAGCCTGCTACAGCCCCGTGAGCATCACAGTTCAGCAGTGTTTTGCTTTGTAAAGAGAAAAAGCCCAAACATCTTGTACAGCTGATTCTGCCCAAGAACAAAAGCAAGTTATGCTTCCACACTCTCGGTGAATTAAAAAGCTGTTAAATCAGCCTATTAAGCTCACCATAATTGAGAGCGTATTAGGGTTTTGTTCATGGCATATTCCCCAGGAGGGAAATACTCCTGCCCTGCTTTATTCAGCGCTGGAGACTGCACTAACGAAGCCAGACAAATATTCTCTTTGTCAACAGAGCTCCACAGTAAAAGCATTTTGAGTCAGGACTCTGAAAGGAATATTTTAGGGTAGAAGGAGGTAAAAGAGCCCTAGAACGGACCAGATCCTGTTCTATGACTCGCCGATAAAGCTGAGTGATGAAAGAAGTGGACTGCAAAGGACTGCAGCGCGCTGGGAGGTGAGATGTGATGTGATGTGATAACCCACTCACCACATCCACGGTGCTGAAGACGTGGCAGTAGTGGTGGCTGGTCTGCAGGTCCTTGGTGATATAGGCGAAGGTGCAGAGATCCTCGGGGTCCTGAGCAGCGCAGGAGATGTTCCGGATCTCGTGCTCAGCAATGACATTCTGCCGGGGTCAACCACAAGCACCCGTCACCCTTCTGGGGATGGCAAATACAGCCGGCAAACGGTGGCTGTGGCACGCGTGTACTGGGGGCAGGGAGGGGGCTCTCCCAGCCAGACCAGTCCTGGCTCCCTCCCATGGTAGGAATAAATGGCAACATGGTCCACAAGCAGCCAGTTTGCCAAGCCTTCGGCATTCAGGTAACCATCACCACCTTGGTGCTCTCCTGTAGTCCTGAGAAGCCGGGCTCCTCAGGA